CTCCTGCACTGCTGAGTGGGCTCGTGTGCGTTTAAATTCTATAGCTGTGCAAGGTGGGGAGCAAACAGCTGTAATTATTTTGCAGGTGCCTTTAGAAATAAACCCTTGCTATTAAGCCTAAAGGCTGCTGCCTGATGTGGTCATTAAGTAACATTGATGTTTTTGTACTCGTGCTAAAACCCACATGACTTTGTTCCTTGAATAATTGCAACGTCCTGTGACCATGAGGCTTTTTACCTTTTCCTCGGCCACAGAGTATTCTCTCGTTCAGCTGGTCCGTCCGCACATGTTGAGGATGGCTTCTTACCGCTTTTTGAAAAATCAGTTTACTTGTCCATTTTTCAGGGTCTGTTATTAAAGAAAATAGCATCGTTTGCGTTTCCACCCCCCGCACTCGTAGAAAGTGAGGGTGTGTGCGCAGAGCCCACGCCCAGCGCGCTGTGGCCCCGCAGCCGGGCCTGCGTGCACAGGATGGCCCGTGTTGTCCTGGGTGTGTGTTTCGTGGAAGCCCAGCTATGCAAACAATCTTTTAATACTGTAGCCTTTGTTCTAAAAACACAGGAGTGAAGAGGGAAATTGTACTCCGAAAACTAATGGCAAGAGCAGCCATGTCGTTATCTCAGTGAAAGGGAAACTTTTTTGAAGGTTTCTGTTCTCTCTAAATGTAAAACGCCATTTACATAGACAGATCATGGAAAGCTCTCGCACATCGGTGTTGATACCAAACAGTTGGAATGAACTGTCCTTGAGGCAAATACTAGCCATGCTTTTGAAGGTGTGAAAAGTAAGATTTTCTTGTAAAATTGCCATATCGTGAGTGCGTGCACGGAGCAGGGGTGTGGCTGTCAGCAGCTCGTGGAGCGGGTTCCAGGAGAGGGGTGTTCCCGATCGCGTGGCTGCGGGGCTTTGTGATCTGTATCGCACGTGGGTCATGAACCCTGTCCGCTCTGGAATAAGGTACAATAGCGCTTAAAAAGAAAACATTTAGTCTTTTTTTTTTTTTTTGGAAAATGTAATGATTATGTTCTAATTAAACTTCAAGCATGATTGACCAGATATTGAATGTTTTAAAGAAAACCTAGGCATTATAAAGAAAATTTTCTTTGTAAAGCAGTTCAGAAAATAGCTCTACAGTCCCTGCTCCAAGTTCACAAGTGCTGAGGGTTACACACGACCCATGTCAGAGGGGAAGGAGCCTGTGTGTGACATGCACACCCTCTTCCAGGTGGGGGACCGAGGCCTCCAAGGACACATTACTGGGATCCCAGGGTGATGCTGGGCTGTCCATGTGCCATCCAGGGTCACCCACCTGCACAGCCATTCAGTGCTGCAGTCTCACTCCCACAGAGCTCAGAGCTGCCCTCTGCCCCAATAACCACGACCCCACCCTCTACATCTGCCCCAGGTCCTCCATCACCACGCTCTAGGTCTGCCCCAGGTCCTCCATCACCATGCTCTAGGTCTGCCCCAGGTCCTCCATCACCACGCTCTAGGTCTACCCCAGGTCCTCCATCAACACACTCTACGTCTGCCCCAGGTCCTCCATCACCACGCTCTATGTCTGCCCCGGGTCCTCCATCACCATGACCTACATCTGCCCCAGGTCCTCCAGCACCACGCTCTAGGTCTGCCCCAAGTCCTCCATCACCACTCTCTACATCTGCCCCAGGTCCTCCATCACCACGCTCTATGTCTGCCCCGGGTCCTCCATCACCATGACCTACATCTGCCCCAGGTCCTCCAGCACCACGCTCTAGGTCTGCCCCAAGTCCTCCATCACCACTCTCTACATCTGCCCCAGGTCCTCCATCACCACGCTCTATGTCTGCCCCGGGTCCTCCATCACCATGACCTACATCTGCCCCAGGTCCTCCAGCACCACGCTCTAGGTCTGCCCCAAGTCCTCCATCACCACTCTCTACATCTGCCCCAGGTCCTCCATCACCACGCTCTATGTCTGCCCCGGGTCCTCCATCACCATGACCTACATCTGCCCCAGGTCCTCCAGCACCACGCTCTAGGTCTGCCCCAAGTCCTCCATCACCACTCTCTACATCTGCCCCAGGTCCTCCATCACCACGCTCTATGTCTGCCCCGGGTCCTCCATCACCATGACCTACATCTGCCCCAGGTCCTCCAGCACCACGCTCTAGGTCTGCCCCAAGTCCTCCATCACCACTCTCTACATCTGCCCCAGGTCCTCCATCACCACGCTCTATGTCTGCCCCGGGTCCTCCATCACCATGACCTACATCTGCCCCAGGTCCTCCAGCACCACGCTCTAGGTCTGCCCCAAGTCCTCCATCACCACTCTCTACATCTGCCCCAGGTCCTCCATCACCACGCTCTATGTCTGCCCCGGGTCCTCCATCACCATGACCTACATGTCTGCCCCGGGTCTTCCATCACCATGCTCTAGGTCTACCCCAGGTGCTCCAGCACCTTCATCACCATGCTTTCAATGACATCTCACCTGGACCCCTCTCCCTCTGGCTGGTGCCCCAGCTTCACCTACAGAGCCCTGGTCCATCCCATTAGCAGGGTCCGTGAGGCTCCCTAAGGCCTGGGCTTCCCAAGCCTTTCTGGTGGTGGGAGCCCCATTTTCCTCAGGCCCTCATCTCCTTTCACCACTTGTCTCTGAAATTTACTCCTTATCTACGAAACTGCAGGTGCCCATGCTGCCCTGGGAGCGCCCCAGCCTTCCCTGCCTTCCTGGGCTGGGTCCACCAAGCCCTGTGGGGTTGTGACCGCTCAACACCTCCCTAGCCTGTGAGCTCCCCGAGAGCAGGGACCTCCACCTGCATCTGACTCCGTGCCTGACTGTGGGGCTCTTTGTGTGGTGTTTAAGATAAATAAATGAACAAATGATACACTAGAGCTCAAGCAGCAGTTTTGTTCTGGTGTTTTCCTCGCCGTGCATTGCCGCCTCCTTAGCTTTGGAATTGAGTGTACTCACCCCACTAAGCAGGTGGGAGTGGGCACGGGACCAGGTGCCTGCCCTTGCGCCTTCCCCCCCCCCCCCCCAGAGGTCACTTAGAGCGTCTCCACCCAGCACCCCCGTCACTGAGACTGGATTGCCACCCTGAGTTCCGAAGACACACTGCCCCGTTGGGCTCGGGGGGAGAGGGGGGAAATAGGGCGTGGCATTCATCAGGAGAGGTTCGCCTGCTGCTAAGGTACTTTGGTTTGTGTCCCCCTCTCTCAGACCTCAGTGGTGAGGCTGTAACGTCCTCCTCCAGCTTTGGGGGCCTTGTCCACCTGACCACGGCAGAAACGGCCTCAGGTTGCTGTTTGCTAATGGAGATAGGCAGATTCCCTTCAAGCTCATGAAATGTGCTGTTGAAACATACAAGACGATGGACATAAACCCATTTAAATCCCACCCCTGAAATTCATTTTCCTGGGCAAATGTGTAAGGTCAAACCTCATCTTAGGTTTTCCTTTGAAATTGGGTGGAAGTAAGGGGATGGTGGGGCTTTCCTGCTGTTGGCTCTGGGACAGGGGCCTGGGGAAGGCACTGCTCTCACAGAGCCCCCAGGGCAGGCCGCGCCTCCTCCATGCAGGCCACCAGGCCTTTCCCATGTTGGACGTGAAGGGTGACAGTGTTGGTGGCCGGGCAGAGGCAGAGGCCTGGGAAGGACCCACACCTGTTCACCCTCTTGTTGCCTTCCCCACCTCGTGTCTCAGCTCTGATGTTACCTTCGATGACAGCAGATAACCCTCCAGCCATCAGCTCCCAGGGGTGACGCCCACTCCCACCCCTACCCTGTCACAGCCGAGTGCAGAGGCCACGGTCGGGTGGGTCGTCTGGCTGCTGGTCTGCTTGGGCTCAGGGTGGTCGGCTCTCTGACCCTCTCTGGGGCCTGAGTGTTTAGCGGGGAAAAGCTTCCAGGTAAAGGCAGGGCCGTGAACAGAGGCACAGCTCCTAGGAGAGCCCTGCACTCACCCCGGCCGCCCTGGGGGCAGCACGCAGGGCAGAGCAGAACACTTGGTGGGATTCTAGAAAAGCTGCGCGCACTCACACACAGCGGGAGCTTCCTCAAGGTGCTTGCTTGTCGCTGCTTTTATTGAACGGCACCAACGCCGCCTCTGAAAGGAAGCTGCTCCTTCCACCCAGTCGTGCCCTGTGGCTGAGGCCCTGGCACCGCCACAGGACAGAGATGCTGCCCAGAGGCCCCTCGGTTCTGAGAGTTGTTCCACAACGTCAGATGCGGGTCCCAGGGCCTACCTGGGGGTGGAGGTCCACACCGCTGTTTGCCCGGTTGGGACCAGCAGGACAGGGGCGGGAGCTCACAGGATAAAAAGAATTCCAAGTTGGGACCTCAGAATTTCATAAAATGAGAAAAATAAATCATGATACATTTTGGGGGTCTTGGGGAGTTGGTGATAGGTCGGGGCCCTGCGGGTGAGGGGCCTGGAGCTTCCCTTTGTCGGGTCCCGGTGGCCAGGACTCCCCGGCTGGGGACCCGATTGTCCTTCACAGACACAGTCCCGGTCGGAGGCCACGTGGTGATGACGATGCAGCTGTTTGTCCAGGGCCCTGCGGGTGAGGGGCCTGGAGCTTCCCTTTGTTGGGTCCCGGTGGCCAGGACTCCCCGGCTGGGACCCACTTGTCCTTCACAGACACAGTCCTGGACGGAGGCCACGTGGTGATGACGATGCAGCTGTTTGTCCCCAACAGGACCTCTCGGGACTGAACCCCTGGGAGCGACCGCCGACCAGGGACAGAGGTGCCCAGGATGGCCCTGCCTGGGGGAGGGGGTTTGGAGCTGGAGAAGGACCTCCACCGAGAGGGGGGCCCTCAGCCGTCCTCTCGTCGCTAGAGGGACCCCAGTTAAGTCGGTCATCCTGCTCCGAGGATGCCCTGATTGAAAACACATCTCCACCTCCAGAGGGAGAGAGGGGAGTAGATTTCTTGTTTGCATTACTCAGTTCAGACGTCGGAGTAGAGTGAGAAGAGGGGAGTGGCCGAGGGAACCGAGCCAGGTGCCACACGGATTGCCCCACAGCGGCCAGAGCAGGGCCTGAGTGGCAGACAGGTCTCTGCAGATCCCAGAGTTGTGGCTGACCATGTGAGGGCCCACCTCCAGCCCCCTTGGTCTGATGCCCGCCGGCCCGCCCCAGCTCTCAGGGCAGCTGGAGCGTGTAGATGGACCTGGACACGCAGCCTTCCCTCCGCCCAGCAGCCCCAACCGCACAGTGAGCTCCAAGTCCACCAAACTTTTTGGCTCATTTCCCCCCAAGTTCATTGCATTAAAGTTTAACCCCAAAGTACTTAGCGTTGTGTACGTGGTATACATCCTAACAGTGACTTCAGGTGGCCACTGGCTTCTGTGAGGTGTGCTGGCTGGACCTGAGCCCTGGGCCTCTCGTCTCCTGCCCAGAGCTCCTGCCCCTCACCCCGGGGCCCTGCCTGGGCCTCAACTCATAAATGCCCCTCATTTTATAACAAAGAAATGAGCCCCTGGGAGCTTGAGCCGTTGGCCCCAGGCACACAAGGGACACACACCCCTCCTCACTTAAGCAGCTGGCCCTCTGTGGGGCGTGCATGTCTGACCCCACGGCCAGTCCTCTCCAGGCCTGCAGGGCCCTGCATTAACCTTCAGAAAGGCTGCCCATGCCCCCTCTGCTGGGGACTGTTCTCATCTCTGTCTGACAGGAGCAGGAGGTGCAAGGCGGGGCTCAGCCAGGGTCCACGCTGGCTCCCAGGCCGGTGCCTCATCGCAGAACACCTGCGGGCTTTCAGATAAAGCAGATCGTGCCGACATTTCTGACCCACGCTGTGCATCCTGGGAACTTGCTTCTAAAGGCAGATGAAGCTGAGGGGGGACAGGTGGGTGGCCGGAGGGGATGGCAAGGAGAAGACGCCGTCCCAGTAGCCGCTCCCTGCAGGGCCCCGAGACCCAGGACACTCAGCAGGCAGGCCGCTGTGGTCTGCAGCATAGCTGGTCCCATAGCATTCTGGAACCTTCCTCCCATGGGAGTGAGTTGGTATTGGGAGCCGGGCCAGCCCCTAGCTTTGTGCACCGGCTTTGACGTCACATCTCATTAAAGGCTCATAGAACCAAGTGACTGTTCTTATTAAATTCCTGTTTTTACTGGCTCTCATGCTATTCCAGCCAGAAAAGGAGGGACCAGTGTCCTAATCTCTCTCCACATTTTAAACCTGATGGAATAGAGGTGCCCAGGTGATGCCCTGGGAGGGGTGTATCCCCTGTGGCTGAGGGCCTGGCACCGCCACAGGACAGACATGCTGCCAGGAGGCCCATGGTTCTGAGAGTTGTTCCACAACGTCAGATGCGGGTCCACAGGGCCTGACCTGGGGGTGAATGTCCACACCCGCTGTTTCCCCAGCTGGGACCAGCAGGACAGGGGCGGGAGCTCACAGGATAAAAAGGAGTGAGGACAAGGCCAGGTCTGGGGGTGACTGTATTGCTCAGCATGTGATGGGGATCTG